AGTGTAGTTTACCTGCTTTAGCAATCCGCAAGCTTGCAATTTTCCGCGTTTCCGTTTTTATTTCCGTATTTATTTAAAGTTTTTATTTCATGCGCATGGGAGCGAAACACAGAGACGCTCGGTGTATTTTTCTCAAATTAGACCAGTTCTTAAATATTTTTCTGTTATCACGCTTTCGTGTGCTCACAGGATTACCTGCGTTCGTAGCACGTATTTCTATGCATTCCTGTGTTTACAACGTTAGCATTGTTCCAAAATCACGCACATTCTTCTTTCTCCCTATTTGCTGGAGATACAGTAGCTTTTTTTAAATACAATTGGTCACTTGCATCCGTAGCACGCATTCCTATAGAGTGGTATAGAATTACAGAGTATCTCTTGGGTCCACTTAAGTATTAGCGCGCACTGTATCGTAGTACGTAGGCTGCATAATCGACACGTATTAAAATACAAAATATGAAAACCCGTCCCGATTTTTCAGCGCACACGACACAGTTCCAGGGTCATTTGGCGTACCACCTGGCGGCACTCCACGTACCACTGCCGGTACGCGTACCACAGTTTGAGAACCACTGCCATAGACTTTGAAGTGAGACAGCATTAAATTAGGCCTAGATTTCTGTTTGTAAATAGTAAATTCAACAACACTTTTCAAAATGAGATTATTGTTTTTTTTCTGTTAGCTAACGCACATTCCCATTCCATCTTGCTTACCTGGAGTTTCCTCATTTCTTCTCTGAAGCTCAGTCTCGACCTGGTCCAGAACATTTTCCAGTTCATCCAGAAGTTTCTTCAGATATTTAATGTTGTCATGGTCCAATAATTTAGACTAAAATATAAAGAAGTACATTGTTCACTATTTACTGTTGCCTTTTCTCTTATTTAGAGTCATGTTGTACATCCCCAAATTAATATGGAATGTTTCAACCCCAGGTTGCAAAAACACATGGAACCTGAGTCTTGGTGTGACCAGGGGCACCAGCCATTCATACACACGGGGAAGAGCACACACATGCAGGCAGGGCACACAAGAAGATCAGACAACATCAGCTCCATGCAATGTCCCAAGTCTTCAGGCTCAACTACCCATGGTACCCAAATCAATAAGAATTATTATCCTCCCAGAGATATTAGTGGTAAGACATTCTCTGCTCTCCTGGTCCATGGATTTGTCCAGGAAGAGGGCACTACAATATGAATAGCTCAGCTCAGAGTCACAATACAAAGGTGAGGATACTCCAGAGATCCTTTCTAAACACCAACTTACTTTGAGACGCTTTTGTTTGGCAAGATATGCTTCCTGGAGCTCTGGGTGTTGCTGGGCAAGCTTCTTGAGCTCTGACTCTGTGTTTCCTATCTGACCTGGACATAAACACACATCAGTGAACGAAACAGAAAAACCATGTGAGGAGGGATAAATTTCACAGATGAGTAATGAATCCAGGGTTTGTTCCACATTTAAGAGAAATAAAACAAGTAGTGAAACAAAACAAGCAGTGAAATCAACTGCCATGTTCCATAGACAGTGCCGATGGCACATTCATTACATGAATTACATAAATCATATTAAACAGAAAGGCTTGCACAAATAAAAATATTCATCATAGATACTGTAATTTTTCCAAACACCTCTGGAGGCTTGGGAATCATGGTAGCATGGTTTCCTTTTCAACAACCTCTTTGTTAGCTTTGATAGACCGAAAAATGAAAGGTGAGTAAGGTACTTCCTTCTGATATTCAGAAACAGTCAATATGTTATGTTAATAGAAATATGTTAGGGTATTTTCTGGAGTGATAAACATGAACAATGCATGAACTGTCTGTTTGGTTGAATCCTGACACTTGGTGTCGACACGAAGAAAGCTCGATCTCTCCACACAGACTTAGAAGATTTAATTTGTATTAATGATTCCCTTAGGCACTATAGATGTTTAGAATTGCATTCGAACACACTGTTACTCAGGCAAACAAATTGCATTTCTTGGAAGACAAACCTCAAAAGACATGGTATCCGCATATTACTATTTTCCTCAACCCTTTGGAGAAATAATTAACTATCGAGAAAGAATGTATTTAGCCTTATAGTATAATGATCTAGGATGACCAGGACAATGTCCAGGACATTATAATGTCAATTCCTGGAAGAGAGGTCATCTACACACCCAGTGGATGACCTTATAGGTTTCATAGACAAAACAAAGAACGGCCTTCCTCTACTTTTCTTCCAGGTGCTTCATTTAAACATTTTAAAGAGATTTTAATGTTATAAATGAAGAATATTCCTGGGACATTAAATCACAACCATCAGTTGGTTCCTTTGAATATTTAGAGTGCACCCATTTTAAATGAAGCTAGGTCCTTGTACCTTGTACCTTGTAACTCTGTTGAGGGAGTGCTGTAAGCACATTTTTACAAATGTCTTGGAGATTCCCAGATTTGATCAGTTTCAGAAAAACAAGTTTCTGCATTTTTATCAAATGTTCTAGGTAAAAAGAATTCACATTCTCCCTGAGAATTTGGCCTTGGCCTCTCGCAACAGCAGAAACAGGTTTGTGTGGCAAGTCTTACTGCTAACAACAATGGGTCTCTGCTAAGCACTTCCACATCTCTTCCCCTATCGGTGTACTCTGATCTTGCTATCTTCACCTCAATCATATGGAACAGAGAGACGTCTTGGAAGCCTCGGTATGCTTGATAAAATCCTTCCTGTGCAATGCCTCTGTCGTAACCTTCTACAACCACTAGAGGTCCTCAGGAAACCTGAAGAGAATGCCATAGGCGACGAGAGCTGCTGCGATGTTTGGGAAATTCAACTAAAAACGACAATGGGTTTACAGAAAAGAGAGCTGCTGATTTCCAGGGTATCTTTTTATTATATGAAGGATTAACAAAACCACTTAATTATCTCCCTCATTTCTGGTACTTTTTTTTACTCTTTTTTTAATCATCCCCAAGGATGTTTACTTACTGCGAATCCTCGTGGTTGCGTACGCAGGGATCTGGGAATCGACTGTGATCTCCGGATGTAAAATGCAGCCGTGGGTATACACATCCATCGGGAGGGAGTCTAAAAGCTCTCGGTAGTGCTGCACTCTAGGAAAGTACATAGTTCCTTCTTCTGGAATCAACCTTGGTGTGTTTTCTGCAGATAAAAGAAGATATTGACCTGGAACAGTTCAAGGGAAATTGAATTCTTTCTATTTCTGAATATATATATCTTAGAAACACTAACAGTGTCCAAGGCAGAACTGTTTAAATATGGACTGGGAGCTTAGATGTCAAAACCATAATTGAGTTTACTCATAACTCGTAACTGATACTGTCATTATCTTTTAGGGGGACAACTAATTTATAGGCATTCATTAATAATCCCACTGATGTTACAAATCACTGGCCCCTCAGGCCAGGCCTGAATTATTATTTTTTAAGTGAGTATTAACAACAGTATTGTAACACTCTGTTGTTAATTTATTAACTCCTGAATTCACCTCAAATAATTCTGGGTACCGTTAACCGTAAACCCTACTCTATGAAGAGGCTCAACATCGTTAAGGTAATGACTATGGAGGTGATAATGATAAATGATTACTATTAAAATCTCAAAAGACTGTGTTATACTCTAAACATTAAAATAGTTTATTAAATAATATTGTTAGAAATTTTATTTATCTAAACATAAAATGGTCACAGTTCTCTACAACAATAAATATACAGCATGACAGTCCATAAAACGATACTTCTCACTTCCATATTTGATTTTAAATTTATTCTGAGGTGTTCTGTAAGAATAACTTGTAACTAAGTACCTTGTCCACTTCAAATATATGGCAATCATACTCAAAAACACTATGCCAGATATTGGAATCCTTTGATGATGAGCGGGGAATTTACGTAAAAGATCACTAAGAAAGTTACATGATACACAATGAAACTGAAAAAAAAAATTCAAAGGATAATACAAAGTTGATCAAAAAATAAATGAAATGGAATAAATAGAAGCATACAGATAAAATACATCTAAATAATCTTGTATTGGTTGCAAATAATGTAATTTCATTAAAAAGTGCATTAATAAACACTTTAATATACACAGATTAGCTTGAAAGACGTACTGTCAATGCAGCAATCCTGTTCAAAGCTGACTTGAGAAAGGGATGAAACTCTTCAAACATTTTTTTCAGCATTTTTTATTTTATTTTGGAGGATTACAACCATTGAAGGACAAAAAATAAAAAAATGAAAATGCACGCAGTTAATTTTAAGCATGATTAGCACAATGATCTATCAGTTACTAGGGATTCCATTAAGATCCATTCTTGGACCCACCGATCAGAAATTACACACCAAGCGCTTGATGACTGATTTCCCTTCTGCAGCAGTTCTGGTGAACACACAGTCACCCCCAAGAGCTTCATAAATCTCTCAGTGAAGGTAGGATCACTGTTTAGGCAAATAACACTTTACTTTCACAGAACAAAAGTAAGCTACCCTTGGAAATACACAAAAGACCAGCCACCTCCCACAGTCTGTCAAGGTACAAGCTAGAATCTGTAATCTACATTATTGCTTCTCTTCATTACCATTTGTATAACATAATTTGAATACTATTTGTATTCGTGTAATAAAGGATTGTTACATTACCGTTCTTGACCCTTTTTATTCACATTCTTGCTCAAGCCATGCAGAACTTAAATCTTCAGACAGCGGCAAACACCAATGTCACAAAAGGAAAATTAAAATGGTACACAAAGCAAGAGCCATAATAAGATAAATACACAGTAAGGTTTATGTGGTGATTATACAGTGAGGTGGAGTAGCAAGTAGAGAAAAACTCTGGGAGACAGTTTCTACTCTCCTTTCTCGATATGAAAATGTATGTCTTCATTTTACAATGACAAAGTCACACTTTTTTTTTACCCAAACCTCTCCTCAAGCTTCCATAAACACTCAACATACTGTATATCAAAAAGTTATTTAAAAACAGCCATCTCACACACTGCTTAGCAGATATCAATGGAACAAAAAAGAGTTTATGGTCTACCTAATTGTCTGACGACGATGCCTCAAGTCACAGTTTTGAAAAGATCTTACCGTCCTTGAATGTTTGATCCAAATAGTCGATTATTTGGGTGGCATCGCAGATGATGTTATCGTTGTGGGTGAGTACCGGCACTTCTCCCGCGGGGTTCAACCGCATGAACCACGGCTCGTTGTGCTCGCTTAAGGGAAGACTCACGTCGTACTCTTTACATTTTAAACCCTTCTCTGCAATCGCAAGTCTCACCTGAAAGAAGATGAAATTAACTTGCCACTGCTAGAGGTAACGGAGCTCCTTTGTGAAATATTTTGTTCGCGTCCGTTTAAAGACCGAAGCACTTTAAGAAATACAAAAAAAACACTTTCCGGTCTTTCTAGTCTCTTTTAGCCTTTATTGCACGCTTCTGTAGGGGTACTACATACAGGCAGTTGTTTCTCTGTATAGTATAGTGATGACCATTAAAAGGCCATCTTGAGAAAACCCGAAGCGTACATCATTTTCTTCCATGAAGGAAATGTAGTACCCCGGGCTATACTGCATTTTCCCTGTCACCGTTTTAAACTGACAGTGTTTGAATTCACCAATACAGAGGAACATCGAGATGGCATTTCATATAATGTCATTGTAGGGTTGAACTGCAGCTCTTGCATTTACTTGAAGCGAAGACCTGCGCAGTCACTGTAATATAGTTGTCAGAATTTAGCCTGGAACAAGAACACACCCTAGGTTTCTAACATCACCATTCTCCGATGACGCATATCTTTAAAAAGGCTTGTCATCAATGGAAAACAGATGTCTTAGCGAATGTCTTTGTGTACAACCTAAAGCCATCCTAGCGCACGCACCGTGAAGGATCTCGAGCGCTGACCACCGTCAAGGTGCTGAAATTTAGAAAGCTCACCTTCTGAGAGCTAAACGATTGGGTCCAATGGTAAAGTACTAGCTTGGAGTCTTTTTTTGTTGTGCTTTCCAGCAACGGCTTCGTTTCTTCTTGGTCTTTTGAAATTTCACCTTTATTTGCTGTGTTTTCATCCTCGATACGCGACTCATCGCTGCTTGAGGCCGCCATTTTTACCCATCAATATTTTAACAACAGTGGGAGGAGCAAAAGGCCTCTACTTGTTTATCTCTAGTGTGAAGAGACCAGCAGTCACGTTTTACAAATGTGACTTTGACGTTTGATGTTGTTATGAGTTCCATAATTGACTGTCGCGTCCTTTATTGATGATTAATTAACATATAAACTGGTATATATCATTTTTTTTTTGCTTTTTACTAGCTAATTATGGTCCACAAATCTCATCCATCCGTTTCTTTTAAAAAGCCAGGTTATCAGATTCAATAACATGCCTAGCTAGCTTGTTCCAAATTTTCGCGAAGTTTTAAAATACAAGTTACACTGGAATCGCTGTAATGTATCCCTTTAAGATGTTAATTGTAAAATTAAATAATGTATTAACTAGTTCAATTTCAGGTATACTAGCAAGTGTTCAATAGAGACAAAAGTTGTGCATGCAGTGTAGTTGGAAGGAATGTATCTCGTTAAGTGGTACAAGCGAAATTCGTATTCTTCATATAGATTCTTAATAGAATATTCTTAGTATTTAAAAAAAACTTTTTTGGATCAGCCTATATTTTACCTTACTATCCTGTGTATTATGTGCGAAAGATTTAATTACAGAAAAACTGATTTCAATATGATTGCGTTTTTTTTCCATTCGCTTTTTTCAAAATGCACAATCAAGAACGACCTGATGAAAACGACCTGCCGGTGGCATCAGACCTCGACCTACCGGACAAATACAGTCAGACAGTGGATGTCGCTGTTGCACAATCGTTCTTGTTCTGTTCAAACAACTTCTGTTAGAAACGATTTTCTATAATAATATGAGAAGTTGGGTTTATCCGCGGTTTCGTATCGAACAGATTAACAGATACATCGTGTGCAGCTTCAGTTAAACATTTATTCGGTTAAGAAAACAAATTAGATTAAATCCATTTTCCAGGGCGGTGAGCTATTAAGAAGAATTATAACAGGATTTTTAAAAATCTTGAAAGTTTAATGAGAAATGGATTTTCCCTACTTTCTCTAGATGGGTTATCCTTCTGAACAGAGTAGTATGCAGAACTAAATAAAATACGTTTAATAGAATCCTAACGATAGGAAACCTTACACGGCTGCGACTTCAAATGACTAAGAATGACGCTTATTGATCATTAAAACAAACTCGCAACGTTTAACTTTAAACATTACAATCAACCTTAACACAACGGCCTCAGTTGTCAGATGGTCCTGAGTTACCGGTAGCCAAAATTAATCAAAAATATACAGTAAGTATTGGAATCGAAATAACTCTAAGCAAAACTTTTCCGTTACGTCAGTTTTCCCGTCATATACAGTATTGTAGACATCAAATATTGTCCCCCGGGTGCCCGATTTGCGTCTAACTGGACATCTAATCGCGCAAGGTCCACGACCACCAGTTCGTTATTCTAGTCTGGGAATGTGTGACGTCCTCTTCGTCTCCTGTTGACAGCAACCGGCTTCGTGGGTTTGTTGCGCTGTGCATCCGCAGAGCGCTCCCGAAACCCCTGGTTCTCATCTTCGTCTCTGAAACTTTTTGTTTCTTGAAAGAAAGGGTGGGGACATCTCCACTGGTGTGGGGGGACAGTAGAGGAGCGACTGGACCCTTCACCTGTGGCAACTCTACAGTACTACTGACGCGTCCAAAGTGACGCGCCCGCTCCAACGCAATCCGAAAGCATTTGTACAGTATGTAGGAATCGGGCATTTGCTGAGTAAAAAGGTTAATCAAAATGTGATATTATTGGTTGGGGAATACTTTTCCAAAGCACTGCATCTAAAAGTTCCAATGTTTGTGAAATTCCTTAATCACCCCCCTTACTCGGGACACGGACATGGGAATACTCGGATCGCTCCGCCATCCTGACCGCGGAAGGTCCAGACTGAGAAACCACTCCTGTATTAATCTAATTATTGATCCGAAAAGAAAAATAAGACCGGATCCGAACGAGAGGGGGGCATTCGATCCATCAAGTCCGTTTCACAGCAGCCAATTGATCGGCGAATCTCAATTTCTTGCGTTCTTTCATCTCGTTTCTTGAAAGAAGCCAGGTTATCTGCGTCAACAGCTTGATCCACACCCCCACATCCCTTTGTGGAGAATGTAACTGTTTTCAGTTTTAAACACACCAAAAAAAGATAGCTCCATGGGGCTCCGTGTTCTGCACTGTACTGACAGAACATTTAGCATTATGCTTAATTCACACCCATCTGTCTGTTCATAATAAGTAGACAACACAATACAATTGTACGGATTTATTTCTTGCAAGTCTTGAAGTACCTCAGCGTGGGATTCAGCTAGGCAATATACAGTAGATACAGTCTACTTTGTTTTTATTCTCTAACCTCGTGGGTTTTTTTTTCCAAATTATTCAGCAGGCTATTGGGCAGTACAAAAATGTTTTAAGCACATGGCGCATAGCGTGGAATCAAAAGTAATGTGAGAGTTGATTTCATGTAATGTAAAATACGAATATTTTCATCGAAGCGTCTGCAGTATATCCTGAAAATGTCCTCCAGTTTTGCAAGGAGAAATTATTGTGACAACACTCCGTTTATAATCACACACACACACAAAAACCCACCGTAAATTCCTTTTGAAGACCGCGATCTCTTAGTCTGTGCTCAGGTCAGAAGAAATACCCTATACTGCATATCAGAGTGTAGCACACAGCCAAACGAGGTGTTTTATTATCAATCTCAGTTCATTTTCGACTTTCCTCGAGAATCAGAGCATCTTTACCTGGTGCACTTCAACAACTGGTTTTTGCATTTTAGAATTAGGAGTGACATGTATTATAGAGAATACGCTGCTGAGTTCATTTTCTTTGAAAGGCCGTTTTCTAAACTAAAAGGAGAGAGGAAACATATTAGTTCCTAACGAAATGGTCATCCATGCCGCATTATGTGGGGGTGATGGACAGGGTGTCTGTCCATAGTGTAGAAGCTGAAACAATGGTGATATGAGTTTGTAAGTAATACAACCTGCATTAACCTGTGATGAACCTAATGATGAGTGAACTATAGGGGCAGGGTAAGGTCTCTGTGATGAACAGAGGAGGATGTTCAGATTCCTCTCACTGCCTGTGAACGACTAACAGCAAATTCCAGGGTGTCTCTGCTTCCATGGAGCAAACAAATCATTTTCTTGTGTCCTAAAAAAGTGATATTCTCAAACAACAGATACTGTATTAAATGAAACGTTTGGATTTTTAAATCCTTAGATTTTCTCAAGATTAAAATGAATGTATTTGTTTTTCTCTTGCAATATTGTATTGTTGTCTGTAGTTCGCTACATTGTTCAAAATGTGAAATTACTGTACGTGCAAACTGTATATATGAAAACTGTATAACTGTAAATTGTAAAATATGTAAACAGAGACTGTATTTGTCAAAGTAAAAATCTGGTTATATCTGCGTGATCACAAGATTCCACTTATTAATAGTAAAAACAATTTAATGGACAATATTTTCTTATAAAAACTGATGTAACGTAAACCTAATTTCATTCTTAGTATGTGGTTTAACTGTTTTGCAATGGATCGAATTAATGAGATTTTTATAATCTTACGGAGGCATTGAAAAAAAATAAAATGTTTTGGTATTTCTAAAATACGCAACTTGTGTATGACACACAATTCATGTTATATGAACCAAATCAAAGTTGTTCTGTATGAAAAATGTACTGTAAATATACATGTTTGGCACCAGAAATCTTTTGTGCCAGATTATTCCCGGATGTCTTGAAACTGCAGTCATCTCAAATTAGGTGAATTCAGATTCAGATAGTCTGCCAAGAGAAAGTGTTCTTGAATGAAATGGAAAGAGTTACACCTACAGTACTTCAAAATGTGTTCTACATCGCCATTGACAACTGAATACTCATAACAAACACATCACAGTATTTTATCAATACATCGCAGATTGAATTGGAAACGTGAGCTGACAGTCGAGATTTCAACACTATTTTAAAAAATTAGAACAAAATAAGAGAGTTTTGAAGAAAAGGGAGGAGGGCATTTATGAAATCTCTAACATCTTTTCAAGAAAATAAAACATCCAAACTCTCTTTGTGTGGCTGGAAGAAAACAAAACTCCGACAAGCAAGGAAACGAAACATACTGTATGAATAACTGCGTTTTTTTTATATTCTTAGATATACTTCAACATTCCAGTCGATTTAAACTCTGTTTCAACTCGCAATCACCTGCGTTGTAAATGCCTTTATCACTTCGGGGTGCCTACAGTAACAGATGATTGAGATCATTCATGGCAGCTCTGCATGGGGAACGCTTGCCATGTTACCATCTATGACAACCAACATACACAACTATAAAACACTTTGCTTTAATACGCTTTAAAAACACTGTACACGGAAATACACGGAAGAGAAGTTAAAAAAAACGAATTACTAGGACCTTAAACATTTTCACAATTCTAATAGTAAGGTGTATTGTATAAACACGGGAAACAATCTAAGGTTCAAAGCAACACACTTGAAATAATAATAATAATAATAATAATAATAATAATAATAATAGTGACGACAATTATTTTTAATAATATTATTCCTGTTGTTTTTTTTATTGTTGTCCATAAAATTAAATCATGAACAGAGTTGGTTCATTCAAACTGAACGGAGAACATTGTAAAGGGCCACTCTCGGGGCGTCCCCTGGTGTTTCCGAAGCGAGCGATCCTAACCGACGGCGCCCAGGCAGCCTCATTAATAAATCTGAAGTTTTCCCTAACTCGCGAAGGATTAACCCCCGTATTTTGCTCGTTAGTGAAGGCGTGCGGCGGGGCGGCGCTACGGGGCTGACGTCAGGAATTGGCTATGTCTTCCCTGGCGGAGGTCGCTCGCCGCTTCTCTCTCTCTCTCTTCCCCGGCGCAGCGAGCGAGTGAGAGGGGAGTCACTTCAGCAGACGAGCGGCGTGCGGCTCCGGTAACTGTCCCCATCCTGCTCGCCCCCATTCAGACACACAAGCGCGCACTCACGGATAACACGGCTGTGGGGGGTTACCGGAAAAAAAAAACAACAACAACAGCAACAACAACCGTCAACGCTGCGCAATTCATTCTCCGGTCGCTCCTTTTTTTTTTTCCTTCATCCTTCTTCATCGCACTCTCTGGTCCCTGGATCCCGGACCCCCCCCCTCCCCTCCCTCCCTCCACTACCCCTCCTCCTCCTCCTCCTCGTCCCCCTCTTCACCCGGCGTAGGAAAATACTACATCAAGACTGTACGGCGAGTTTGGTTTGCTTTCTTTCCTCCTCTTGCCCCCCTCTTCTGAATGACGGGCGGACGGTTCGACTTCGACGACGGCGGCACCTACTGCGGCGGATGGGAAGATGGGAAAGCGCACGGGCACGGCATCTGCACCGGACCCAAGAGCCAGGGCGAGTACTGCGGCTCTTGGTCCCACGGCTTCGAGATAGTGGGAGTGTACACCTGGCCCAGTGGGAATCTGTACCAGGGCTACTGGGCGCAGGGCAAGAGGCATGGGCTGGGCGTGGAGACGAAGGGCAAGTGGATGTACCGGGGAGAGTGGAGTCACGGGTTTAAGGGTCGCTATGGGATCCGGCAGAGCCTCAACACACCTGCGAGGTACGAGGGTACGTGGAGCAACGGTCTGCAGGACGGCTACGGGATTGAGACCTACGGAGACGGGGGTAAGCGGCGCTCTCGATGTCTGTCGTCTCTAGGTGCTGCTGGGTGCATGGGGCGGCACACCTCCCCGGCTGCCGCGGCTGGATGTGACTGTGGCACGCAGGGAATGACAGCCAGATGATAGAAGTAAACTGGAAGGCAGTCGCTCCGGATGAAATCCCGACGGGCGAAAAACAAAAGCTGGAGCGCAAGTAGCTACCTTAAAAAAAAAAATACCTTAAAAGCACGTGGAGCAGAGCGCTTCCACGAGCGGGCGAGTGAGGTTAACCTTCACGAAAGCTCCACGTAAATGAAGTGATTGCCCGATATCGTACTGGGAGAGCACATCCATCATGAGCGTCGGTGTGAGCTCTGGAAATTAACGCGGTGGTATACAGCCACGTTAAGGGAAAGGCGATAGCCTGCCCACAGTTCTGCACTGACACAGCGACGTTGTAAGGGCTCCACTTTTTTATTCGCAGTTAGTAAAAATGTATATACAGTAGTCCGTTGAATTAAGTTTCTTTTGCAGTAATCAGAAAGACCCAAATTGCACGGAATCGACTAGCGTTTATATGACATTGAGCACGTATAGGTCCAGCACAGCCATTTTAATGTGTGCTGTGGCAGTGTGTTATTGATATATGTGGTTTCGAATTGGACAGGTCAGCGCAGAGATTTTTCATAGAGGTCATGTCTAATAATAGGTGGTAGCTCTGCAACACGTACAGTAAAACTAGACCGGTTTTGAACGAAAGGAAAAGCCGAATTAAATATTGGCATTAGCTTGTTCGTTTTGCAACCAGAAATGCATTGTTGTGGTGTAAACAGATACCAGAGTGTTTTCCTGCAAAGGTGACAGAAATAGTTGCTGTAGCTAAAACTTTAATCTCGACACCTGACGTTTGGCAGGAGCACTTGGAGAGATGTTATCTCTCTCGCTGTGATAGCCCCATAGCTCAAGACCTAGGAGAATCCTAGACTGGATAACTATCAATATGCTTTTTATAATAATTTTATAATATTTTACATTGACGCCTTTCCGTCAAAATGTTTCCCGTAGAAACAAACGTTAATTCCAATATTGAGCGTAATCGTAATTTTGTAGTCATAAACTATATCGACAGTTAATAGACTTATGGAAACTGTTTTCTCTTAAAACTTGACAAGTGTTTAAAGTGAGAGTTAAATCAGACCTGTGATCAATATCTTGGCATTTATCAAGTTGTATAACCCCTATGAGCTAATTCCGATGTCCTGTCATTTAGCAAACAAACTATTAATGTTATCTTGGGTTATAGTGGTTATTTTCTTTATTTACTGGAATCTATAAGATTCTACACTTGTCTTTTGGTTTTGAGCGTTTCGTGCGTCCAAAATATTAGGCATCGTTGAAAAATCTTAAGAGAAGATCGATAAAAACAGTAGCGAGGTGTATTTTTTTGTCAACGGACTGTTCAGATAAAAAGAATCAAACGCTGCATTGTCAATTGGAAAACATTTTCCAACATTTATTAAAAAGTCATAGCATTAGTAGCAGCTAGAGCTATAATTTGAAGAAGAAATTACATGACATCCTAAAAACAATGCAAGCATGCGCATGTACTGTACATGACTTCATGCAAAACGTTAAACAACATATCGGCTTTTGTAATAATAAACCCGAACTCTCGCAGATCCGTGAAGAACAATAATGAGAGTATCCTATTGCACAGGAATCACTGTCGCAGCTCTCTGCGTATTAATGTGCCTTTTTCTTCTAGGGTCTGGTTAACGCTGTTAATATTAGCAACCATACAACCATTAGAATTTCTCCGTTTGCCACAAAGTTCAGTTTGCTCCTGTGTCAGAATTTATCCCTGGAAGCCTCTAGATCAGCCCGAGTAAATATTCACTCTGCACTCGTCTTTCTATGGGCAGGTGGGGGGGGGAAACAACTGCTTTTCTCACTGTATTCAGGACTGAAGGGACATGGCCAACAGAAGCTGTTGTGTCAAACAACGTCATATCCCACACGCAGAAGATGTTAACTCCAGAAAATCTCTCTAATGCTCACTACTTAGTGATCAAATCCATTGGTCATGTTTTACTTTTAAAAAAAGTGTGAAACCGAGAGGTGCACATTAGTCAGCCCCACACCTGTCTTTGTATCAGTGGGTGCTTAAGTCACGTTCCATAGAATGCAAATGTATCGTAATTTGATCATTAACAGAATATCTTACACCCCTATTTATACAACTAGTTGAAAGTGCGACCAAAATTAGTTACCGATGCGGTTTTGATAGAGCCCTTCCACTCACTGCCTGGACTCCCACCAAGAACCATCCCGAAGAAGCAGAAGGAGGATTCTTCAGAATCAAAATGGCAAAAAAGAAACGCCACCAAGACAGATCTTAGCGTTTATTAACTTACAGAGGGATGGCCCTGCCAAGGGTGGGTGGCGTAGTGGGGTGATGGACAGAAGCGCCCTACAGGTCCAGGGTCCCAGGTTCGATCTGGTGTGCTTTCATCAGGTGTTCCAGGTCTTCTGCCTCCCAGAGACGTGCTAGACACTGTAAGTCGGACTGGCCGTTCCACATTGTGCCGTTCTTTGTGGCCCTTCCTCATACTGCTGTTCCTTTCAGGGGAAGAGTGGTTGTGTATCAGTAGTGCCTCCCTGGGCCCTTTGCTCCCAGGGTGGAGTGCTAAAAACAAATAAAAGAGGCTACAAATGAGAGGTGACCATTACACCCATCTACAGTAGATGTTGTTTTTCAGTGGTGAACTGATCCAGTGATGTCACCCAACCGCTTCTTGAAGGAAGCCAAGTTATAATCTTCAACATCTGGCTGGGCAGATTGTTCCCTACTCCCACCCCTCTTTGTGTACAGAGTGGCTCTTCTACCCAGTTTTAAGTCCTGGCTCGCCACTACCCTTGCCAGGAGACAAAGCTTTCTGACCATTGGTGGAATTAGTAATAATATAAACCTAACAGGCCATTTCTGTGGCAGAATACAAGTACAATCTGCATGTCCTGTAAATTTGGTGAGGTTCACTCTTTCCTCTTACTGGATATTGTAATGTGTTAAAATTTTCCAATTATGCAATTATGTTTCCCGGCATTACATCCTGAGTTGTACTCAGAGTCGAATTTCTGAATTGACTATCTCAAGTTATATGCACACCACTATTGTAGAATGTTTTCAGCTTTGGCAACAAGTTACATTTCTTTAAATATAGATGGGGAAAGGACACCAAACAACAACGTACTTTACTAGACGGAGCATGACAATATTTATGAGGTAGTTTAACTCGCATCCGATAAAGGTCTATTGATTTACTTTTTAGCTAACACATGTTTTAAAAATGGTTCTTCCAAGCTAAAAGAAGTGGACTTTTAAAGTACAAGATTAAATTTCCTGGCTCTTTGCTCAGTATGCATTCTTAATGGGTTCCATTAAATCTCAAGTGCTATATGCTCACTTAAAATATGGTGCAATGTGTAATATGAATATTTATTTATTTTTTATAACAAGCTTTTTCTAAAACCTGTTGGATTGTTTATCATCTTTTAAATATAAACTGAGATGACCTCAGATTGGATGTTTAGAGCAAAGATGAAGTTTCAAAAGAGACTGATGATAAGAGGTGATGGATACAAAGTTTTAATGAAGTTAATGTAATCCATATTATCCAATTTACCTGCACTCTGAAATAGTATTGGAAATAATACATCATGTGTTTGGATGGCACAGTGGCGCAGTGGTTAACATTGCTGCCCTGCAGAGCTGGGAACCTAGGCTCAGTTCCTGACCTGGGTTGCCATCAGCATGAACTTTGTATGTTATTCCTTCACACTGGTTTCCTCCCACAGCCTAGAGACATATTCATAGCTTAACTGGCTTCTGGGAGTGAATGCATGTTTGTATCTGTGTGTGTTCTGTGATAGACTGGTGTCCTGCCCAGGGTGTACCCTGCCTTGCTACCTGTATTGGTTGCTGGGATAGGCTCTGGCTCCCCAACAAATCTGAATTGGATGAAACAAGGTTGAAAATGGTTTGGCTGGATATTTTGTGTTCAAATAGAAAGGCTAATTGCCATTATGTATCATCAGTATAGAAAGTAAGTAAAATTATGGTGTAAAAATAAGTTGATTTATTATCTGTTATATTGGTTTTATATCATTATGGAACATAAATTAAACTTTGTGGAGCAGCATTATATTAGGATCTTACAAAATCAGAATCAAATTTTTTATACATGAATCATTTAATTTGTCAGATGTGAATTATTTAGTAACTTATTCATGCAGTTCAGAACTGGGAAATTTCTTTATGAAAACAAGAACCAACTTAGCATCCTGTCAGATCTTAGATCAGGTCTATCAAATGCCATTAAGAAAACTGAGAAACGTTTGAAATTCGACTCCAAACCACAGAAGTCTTAAGAGAAGTGGCTGGGTTGGTTGCTTCACTTCTGATGGGACGTCAGATCAAAACGTGATAAGGAGCCTTAACATTGGAAGCTTTCTTAGTAGGGTTGCTGTTGTTAGACCCATCAAGAGGGCCTGAAACCATCTTGTAAATTTAAAAGCCATGGTAAGCAAAGTTTAGGTGTCCTCGGTATGTTGTTGAGGGTTTTCAGGGCTGGGCTGTGTGACGTACTCGAATTGTGGGGTTGCGCGGTAACTCTTCTGATTCTTTTGTCGTTCTACAAGGTACTTACCAGGGGCAGTGGATGGGAGGAATGCGACATGGATACGGGGTGCGGCAGAGTGTGCCTTACGGGATGGCTACGGTTATCCGTTCGCCGCTGCGCACGTCCCTGGCCTCGCTCCGCAGCGAGCAGAGCAATGGCACTGTCCTACATGACATTACAGCCGACAGCCCCGCCGGGACGAGAGGGGGGTTCGTCCTGAACTTTCACAGCGACAGCGAGGTAGTGACCGGGAAGAAGAAGGGCCTGTTCCGAAGGGGATCGCTGCTCGGCAGCCTGAAGCAGCTCCGGAAGTCGGAGTCGCGGACGTCCATCTCGAGCAAGCGCAGCTCGGCGCGGAGCGACGCCACGATGAGCCGCATCAGCTCCAGCGACGCCAACTCGACGATCAGCTTCGGGGACGGGGACCTGCCCGACGAGTACTTCCCCATGGAAGACCACGTCGACGCCACCACCACCGAGTCGTACATGGGCGAGTGGAAGAACGACAAGCGCAACGGCTTCGGCGTCAGCGAGCGCTCGAACGGCATGAAATACGAGGGCGAGTGGATGAACAACAAGCGGCACGGATACGGGTGCACAACGTTTCCCGACGGCACAAAGGAGGAAGGAAAGTACAAAAACAATGTCCTGGTGCGGGGGATTAGGAAGCAGCTTATTCCGCTCAAAAACACAAAAACAAAAGAGAAAGTGGACAGAGCGGTGGAGGGCGCGCAGCGGGCGGCGGCTATAGCTCGAACCAAAGTGGAAATTGCAGCTTCAAGGTGAGTGCGGGCCCCCTCTTCTCCGTATGTCTGCCAACGTGGAAAGCTGACTTATTCACACCTCGGAAAATGTCATGTAGAATTCGAGTTTCACCTGAGGGCAGCTTCTTGGCGATTATGTGGAAACGGCTTTGTGAGGGGATGTTGTTTCAGGCTTGAATGGGCGCTGTATCCTTCCCATGTTGGATGTGGGCTGGCTTTGTTTTCTCAAAACCAGAAATAACGGCAGACTCTGTATAGTTTTCTCATTTCGTAAGGTCAGTTAAGGCCCTGAAAGCTGCATGAAAAGCTTTTAGAACTCATTTTAAATTCTTCAGGTGCTCTAATAGGATGATAAAAGAAACAATTGCAGGTCTTTTGAAATGTGTCTCCTTGAAACAGATTAATGCTTGGCTACCTGTATAACCAGGAGATAACAGGATAATAAGGTATCAAATTGTAATGGACATGCTGAACTAATTCACTACACTTTATTGCACCATGACTTTCAAGTACACTTTGACAATTTAATACAAGTTATGTGTAAAACGAATATTAGTGGCTGTGTGCTACACTGAATTCATGCAAAACAAGAGTTTGGTATATTTTGTAATTATATTCTGTTCAATTTAAAAACATATGTTTTTTACACAAAGGCACTCTGTTTTAACCCCACTAAACCTGGAGAAATCTTTTTGAACCAGTTAGGTTTGGCCCATTATTATTATATGGTAATATCAATGCTGTAATTGAGGCAATTGTTTTATACCTCAAACAAGGGTTGCTTGCTTTTACTGAAGGAAGACAATCATGGAATACATCAGGTTAAACTTAATATCTTAATATTAAGTCTTAATATCTTTTTTACCAAGGAACTGGCAGACAGCCATGCTTCAGGGGTGACCTACAGTGCCTGAGATTAGTCTAGAAACTTTTCCACCTGTGTTATTTGTAAGAACATAAGAAAGTTCACAAGTGAGAGGATACCATTCTGTCCACAAGGCCCTTTGAGTACTTACTAGCGAATTTATCTGAAGAAATCATCCTGACGTTTCTTCTTTACTAGGGTATCAACTTCAACAAATGTTTGGCAGTGTAGCGGAGCTAGTTTGGGCACGGTGACATCACCGCCCTCTCTGCACATAGCAGGGACCTCAGCTGCCTGGGCCGAGGGAGGTCTCCTTTAGCTCACTCGGCTGGTTCCCTGTTACACCGGAGACCCAGGTTCGCACCCAGGTGTTGTGGGACAAACCGGCGGGGTGGAGCGGCAGGGGCACGAGCTTCACACGAAACCGGGACAGTCCCATTGGTGCCATGACCCAATTGAGAATGTCCTTCGCCGAGGTGAAGTCAGCAGGGGAGGGTGTAGCGGAGCTCGTTGGGGCACGGTGCCGTCATCGACCTTCCCTGCGCGTAGCGGGGACCTCAGCCGCCTGGGCTGGGGGAGGTCTCCTTTAGCTCACTCGGCTGGTTCCCTGTTGCGTTACACCGGAGACCCGGGTTTGCGCCCAGGTGTTGCGGGATGAACCGGCGGGGCAGGAGCCCGTGTGGAACCGCGACGGTCACAGCAGCTTAGTGCATGCTCCCACAGCCCTTTGTGGAAAGAAAGGCCTCCTTTCCTGGATGGAGAATTGTATCCAGCTGTTTGAATGAAACTAGGATATCAGCTTCTACAACATGCATGGGTCACTTTCCACAGTCCTACAACCCCTTGTGTAAAAACGTGCCTTGTGTTCTCCGGGTTAAATGCACTTCCACATACACTGTAGTTTCCACTTGTGAAGTATGAACCAGAGCCCGCTGATGATTCAGAGTCTTTGTCTGTTTGTGAACATTTCTTCGTGTCACACATTGAATCTGTGCTAGATGGACATTTTTTGTTTATGCCACAGGTCTACTGTCCTTTCAACCACAAAGAAACAAATCACTGCATGTCGTTCCTCTATTATACAGATTTCTAGAGGTGTTCAGACATTAGTCAGTAGTCCCTCTGTAACAAATATGTTAAAGACTTAAAATACACAGATAAGTCGTTTATACAAATGTCCAATTTAAGAATAAAGACACAGAAATAAGAATTTAAGGTGTCATTAGCTATTGAAAATGGCCTTTTATTAACATGTACCTTTCTCCAAGTGTAAGAAAATATAGGTATCCAAAGCTAAAGTTGTTGTTCCTAAGGTTTTGTCTATTTTTTCATTCTCTTTGGCAAATACAAAAAAGGGTACCAGATTACGTAGTAAAGAAACATAGTAAAGAATTATTCAATTACAACAGCTGTACTCCTTGCACAGACAAATTGATGTTTTGGATGTTGCTTTAACATTACTTTCGAAAAGCATCCCCATCTTCACCATTTCACGCACCTGCTGGGTTTTGAACAGCAATCCGAGTGCTATTAGCGAGACGACAAGGATGATCCTTTCCAGCTACTGCGTCTGACACTTGAGAGTGGTCACATTGGAAAACATTTATATAATCAGAGCCCTCATGCAAAAAGTCATGAGATAATGCTTTGCAATATTCTGATGTGCAAGCAGTGCCCTCAGCCTTCCCCATTAAAGGATTGTCATTACTTAGTGTAATAACCTAGGTCGGAGGCGACTTTGCAAAACAATTTGTAAAAGTCTGTTGCTCAGATTATTTTGATCGCAAACAGCAGGGAATTGAGTTTTCCCGCTGACTCGAAAATGACTGGGAGACATGCGCGCAGAGAAAAAGGGTCAGCCAATTGTTTTATTAACAGAATATACAGCAGCTTGCAACACAAATATTAAGGGCACTGGTAATTCAGTGGTGGTAAAGAAAAACAGTAACTTTTGGAGATATTTGTGCAGTGAACTTTAGAGTATTTTGCAGTGTTTCAACTTTGTGTCTAAAAAGCCATTTGTGGCATTACTGGAGGTTGCATAATGTTAGAGGGTGCGTTATGATTGTATTGATTGAACTCATGTGACACAAGTTTCACAGAACTACTGTACAGTGAATGGAGAAAGTGCAGTAGGACTGAAGACAGAGTTGACGTTTGGGACTAGAAAGCAATGGATTTCCAGGTGTGTTTTCAAGCAGGTTACGGACAATTTAATAACCCAGCTATGGCCTGTTAACCTGAAAAAAAAAACAAATAGCATTTAGTTTTTGTAACTGTGGCTATACTTTCACCAAAGAGCTATTGCCCTGGAGGCACGGGTTCATGATGAACATCTAATCATTAACATGTTTTGTAGAGCATGTAGCTGCTCTTGAGCAAGGACTGTACCAATGAGAGATCAAAAACTCATAAAGAAATTGTAGAGGACTTAATATACTGTAGTAAGTACACTGCTCACCGTCTTTAAGTATTATGTTGATTTTTTTTTCCTTTTCCTTCCTCAATAAAATAAAATATACACGTGCCACATATTCTGACACAAATTAGTCCCTTGGGTCATTCAAGGTTACTGATGTCAAAGCCTTTTCATTCTCAAGTTTTCCATTTGAAATTCATGAAGGGCTGTTCCCTTACTCAAGGTTATTATATTACACAAAATATAATTTTTGTGAGATTGACTTTCATGTGAATTTTGAACTTAATATTTTTTTAGGGGTCTGGTGTTCTAGATACAGTATATCATATCTGTGAAATATATCGTGCAGGTTCCAGTATTCCAGTGCAGGTTAAAGGATTTGAGAAAAAACACACTGACTTTTTATTTTTAAATAAACACCAGTCCACTTTCACAGTCGCAGAAACGTGTTCAGGTAATTGAACTAGATTGTGTAGAAGGGAATCACAAACACCCCGTGAAAGATTAGACCACAAATACACTGTAGGTATGTTCACTGTTAAAATCCCAACTCATCTAATACACATATATTTTATGTAAACCATATATACAAATGTATTTAAAAGTTTTTCGCAGTCCTAATCAACAGCCAAAGCAAAATTGCTAAACAAAAAAAATTATAATAATAAATTCAGTAATGATCAAATGAGATGTACAGTATATGTAATCTTACATTAAACATTATCTGTCAACACATTGTTGATGTATTCTTAAGAAAAATGGAAGATTGAGGTGCCGAAGACTATTGCAAATATATTTTTGCAACCATCCTACTAAAACAACTTCATATTACAGATTGTGTTACCGCTTGTAGATCAGTTAATTAGCTCAGCACAATGAAGAAAACATTCTCTTCATTCCTCACAGCATCAGGGCCGGTGATCGTGTATTCCTTGGATTTATAAAAAAAAATGTAGGGATAATGTAGACCGGGGTGGCATGGTGGCACAGCAGTTAGCATTGCTGTCTTGGAGTGCTGTAGCCCTCGGTTCAACTAGTAAAAAAAAAGTTTATCAAACTGAAAATCTAGCTTCAGAAAACACATAGTAATTGTAGACACAGCTGTAATTTCAATATATTTACTGCTGTGAAATCTTATTTATTTAGATCATGATTTAGATCATTAAGACATGCATTAGGAATCCAGATATTTCTGGTGGAAAAAAAAGATAATTTTTAAGCATAAGTATTAATTGAATTTCTCCACCTTTGTGAATTTTGCTAAGCAATGAAAAGCGTGTTTGTTTTTCAATGAAATTTATATCAACTCTTTCTATGTTTATATAATTTGTGTTCATTAACATAGAATACTGGCATGTTTTATGTATTTTATTTTATCTAAGGACTAAAACATTTAGATGATGTGGGAGATTTTTACATACTGAATGATTCTTACAAAAAAAATCTCTAGTCTACAGCAATCATTTGTGCATGTCATTATATATGTACAGGAGTTAGGTTGTACACTTATTTAAAAAAAGAGTAATGCCGTAAGTACCTTAATGCCTCTTCATCCTATAATCTTAACTAGGGTATTATGAATAACATAAAGCATTAACATAAAAAAATAATCAAGTTCTGTGTCATAAAGTGGTCTTTTAAAAATAATTTTAATTAATGTTTTAATACATTTTCATACTTTTTGGAGGCATCGCCAGACCTGGATTTACTGATCTTCTGTAAAACGTTAAACAT